CAGACAGGCAGCCACCGCAGAGTGCAGCTGACGCGGGACGAACCCAGACGTCGACGTCTTTTTGGCGCGTGACGTTGAATCCGAGTTGCTGGGGCAGGGCGGGGGAACTGGCAGATGGCAAATTGCATTATTATGCGAGTGTCTGCAATCTGTACAACCCACACACGCACGAACACACAGACGGAGAAGAGAAAAGAGATAGAGAGAGCGACTAAAACAGAAAGAAGAACAAAACTAAAAGTGCAACAAAATACGCAATAACAACAAACAACAAGAGCCAAACGAGGGCTGTATTACGATAGTCGCGGCTTTGATACCCTTGCTTACTTGGCCGTCATCACATTTGTTGGGAATGCCCTGCAGAGTTTCCTATGCTCCCTTGGCTGCGTGCAAGCAACTGTTACACCTTCTCTGCGAGGGTATCACAATATTTGGACTGCATCGGGACCATTCGTTTGGCGTCGGTCGATGGGCGATTAGAAATTCTGCAGAGGCTTGCCCATGGGTGGAGCGTGGGTGTACGTAGGAGGGGGTCAGTTGTGGTGATGGGTCATTCGGGGGGTTTACATTCAGTTTTGTTCAAAAATTAATAGAATTTCATAAGCTTTTCGGTTGCATCTCTGTGCTGTCTCTTTCTATTTTCCCCCAATTTATGTGCAGGCTCTGCCAGTGGCGGCGGGCCTGCACTGCTCTCTTTTGTCCGTGCTCTCTGTCGCACTCTGGTCTGCAGTTCGCACTCTCTCTTTTCGTCGCTGGCAAGTCTATTTGTTGGCTCGCTCTTTCAAATGTTAATTTGAATTTTTATTAGGTTTTAGGCATGCATTGTTGTTGTTGCCGCTCTGCTGCTCCTCTGCTGCTGCTCTGCTACTTCTGCTGTTGTCATGCATTTTATTTTCACTTAAAATTGCAATTGTTAGTTGTGAAAGGGGGTGGCGGGTAGGGGGCTGACCGACGCTGGCTTCGCTGCTGTCATCGTTGAAAGTGCGACTGCGTTAGAAAATTGCATTTGATAATACTAAACACACACACTCGCACTCACATGGAAAGCACACACATAGAAATCAGTTTTTTTAGGTCGTGGGTTGGGCAACGCCAACGGGAGCGGCAGAAGAAAACAAAATATCTGCAATGGGTAACAGTAAAATGTTTACGTTGGGCGGCTTACGTGTTGAGATGGTGCTACGTTATAGCTGACGTTACAAGTTCGTTGAGTGGAAATGTCGAAGAATTATTCAAGGAGGATAATCCTTCCAGGTGCCACTTTGCAGTCGAGTTAATCCGACTAATCGAGTTGAATACCTTTGCGCCATAGATAACTCTACATCAAAAATATATCATAAGGAATACCAAAGCTATTTAATTAATCAAAAGAATTTATTTAAGAATCGAAATTGTTCGAAAGATGGCAATAACACGACTGCCTTAAGCTACGGACTCCTTGCAGTAATATTTTTGTATTGCAGTGCAAAAATATTTCCGATGATGAACATTTTTAAATCAATCAATAAACAACGAGAAATGTACTCCGTGGCACTTGAAGAATATTTTACAATTATCTTTTTCCCATTTACCAATCGCAAATATTATGATGAAAATGTTCCAACGAATCGATGGGAGAATTACTTTTACTGCATGCCTCATAGTGGTAATCCTTGGCTGCTTTAAAAATATTTTTGAAGGATTTACCTTTGCAGGTAACATTGATAAAGTGCCACATCATTCAGCGTCGTCTTAACTCCACCTGACAAGTAAGTACCAGCCATTGCATTTTTTGTGCACTTTTTTGGAAATTTGTGCCAACTCATGAAGCAATCGCGACTTCTACAAGGCGGCGCCGCCGCCGGCGAGTGAAATTGCTTGGCACAAAGGAAACAATTGAACAGCTCTGTCCTCTGTCCCCTCACAGTCCTTTCTTTCAACGACCGATTTCTTTGTATCCGAGTATCCTTCGGTTCTACACTTTTTTTCCTAAGAGCGGAACTTCAATTACACATTTGCTCACATGCGAAGCAAACAGAGAACACAAAAAAAGAAAACTAAAAGTCACTGGCCTGTCAGGAGGAGGGACGGTCGCAATCCAAATCACATTTACCGACGGCTTTCTTGCCTTCAGCCATATCTTTTGGCCACTTTGAATGTTGCTCTTTTTGCATTGTTGTTCTTCAATTTTGATTGGAATTACGAATATTGTGGTCTGTGGGTCGGTGGGTCCTTGGCCACATCCTCCACATTGCGGCTAATGGCAGTGGAGCATTTTATACCCTTTTTCGCAGGCAATAAAAACATTTTCTTTCTCTTTTTTTGTTGTTGGTCCACCCACAACAAAAAATGAAATAATGAATAATATGAAGAAAAATACTTGCCTTGCTTCTGTGTGTGTGTGAGAGAATTTTTTACGCTGCTGTTTCTGTTGTGGAAACAGAAAACGCATTAAGTGCGCGGTTTTCCATTGTTTATAACATTTGTGCCACCCCGAGAAGGCAAAGGGATAATTAAGAATGCTTATTTATCTAGAACGCGGCCACGGCGCCGATTGTCCAGTTCCCCCATTCCCGTTCCCGTTCCCACATCACCATCCCCAGCCCGGCATCCTTCCATCTGCATGACCGCAGGGGGGCAAACCCCACGAAAAGGTTCGTAAAAAGCCAAAAAACTTTTATTTTTTATGATAAATGGTAAAGGTTTGGGGGGAACAGGGTAATGGAATGCCATCCCATGAAACGGATGGTGATGGTACATACTAGGGGTAGAAGGCGCCAGCCAAAGGTCACGAGATGTTTGGAACTGAGAAAATTACGATTGAGACATAGAAAAAAAAGATATGCATGATGGAATGGTACTGGAATATATAATGGTATCGTTCTAGTGAACGACAAAGAATCGGAGAAGGCTGCCATCGACTATTACTTGAAGAATGGATCATAACAATCGGTCAATGGCAACTTTACTTTTACTAATTTGGGAGTAAACTGCAATAAGGTTTAATGGAATGTAACTAAATTTATGGTAAACCAATGGAAATAGGTTGACGACAACTGAATTGAATACAATTTAAAGAATTAAACATCACAAAATAATACAGGAAATGTAAACATGTTTTCGGTGTATATTTACACTGAGAAGACATCCTCTCAATGGTCTTCTTGCGGAATGCAGTGGGCAGAAGGAGGCCGAGAGACCTCATAGATTGCGACACAATATAATCAATGTAATAGAATGAGCGACATAGAAGAATTGTTCGCAATAAAAAGGAATAAAGGGAATCAAAGTACATTGATGTCTGTACACAAATGCAGTTCAAATGGTTTTATAAAAGATTAAAATGAAGCCATCGGAATTGCTAGGGGAAATAACTGTTGAGCATGAAAGTGTTCACAAGTAGCATATGGCACATAAGAAGGTCTTCAAATCAAGCATGAAACCACAAGGTGGTTCTACCTAAGCATCTAGACAAGACAGGCACGTTAGTTCGTCGCGTGGTAGCTCCCGTCAAAAGGTCACTTGTTCTCGGACACCTATCCAAATCACCTATGGGCTTCAATCATTGAGTATTTGCAGCGTCTACCCAATATTTTCTCCGCTAATTAGCTTGGCCGAAAGTTGGCGAGTTGAAAATTACCCAGGCACCGAAACGGAGGAACAATTTTGGAAACTGAACTGACGCTGGAGAGCAGCCAGCCCAAGACAAGACGATGGCGGTGCCGTTGGGCAGAGCAGTGGTAGCGCACACGCAAATCACTTGTTTTTATGTAATTAACTGCCTTGGCCCCCTTGGGTTAACGGAGCCTGGGTCTTTGGGGTCTTAGCCGGGGTAATTAACCAAAAACCGATCGCTTCTTACACCAACAAAATTCCAAATTTTGGCATAATTTCCAGCAGCAGTCGGGTGCGCACCTTTCGGGGTTTTTCGCTTGGAAATCTATCTACCTATCTATCTATCTATCATCTATGTATCTATCAGGTCGTTCAATGACCGATAAAATTGCCTCAACCGTCGCGACCAACTCGACCGACTCCGACCAAAGACCCAGCACTGCCTTTTAGCGGGTTATTGATTATTAATATTTCTTCTTCTATCCCTCTGTTTCTGTGTCTTGTGTTGCTTTTTTTTGGTAAGTTGTTCCCAAACATTTTTTACCATTTGCTGTAATTACAGCGACGCGTTAATTGTTCGCCTCCTCTGCATTCTGTGTGCCCCCTTGGTTATACGTGCGCTGCGGTGCGGTGCGGTGCGGCTTCCCTACCCTCCTGGTTTCCATGTGTTTCCACTTCTATTTGTGTTTGTTTTCGATGCTGGAGTCGACAGCCCAAAGACAACACTCGTCGCGGTGAGGAATCTACACTTACGCGGTGTTCGGTATCGAAGACCCCCGACCTCTCAACGCACACACAGATTCCGGCTCCGACTGTGACTGTGACTCCGGCGTTCATTAGCTGCTATTACCATTATTGCCCACACAGCCACTGCCAAAGCAAAGCCAATTACTGCACAAAAATTCCCCAAATTGCGGAGTTTTGATAAATGGATCTGTGCCACTGAAGAGGACACCAGTCAAGGGCCCCACAGATCCATCATAATCGTGCCCACATCTCTCAAAAGTAATCCAAAAGAAACTTTAACGCTTTGTGTAAGCCAATTTTGGTAAGCAATAAAACTGGCTAACGATCACTAGGAGAGATCGCAAATAAAGTTTACGGGCATTTGTTAACCTACTTTGGCTTGGGTAAAAATCGAAACCTAAAAAACATACAATCAATCGCAACAATAGGATCACTTCAAATGAGGTCTCTTCTTGGCTGAAAGTACCATCTGGGCGGACTGACAGTCATGGTAACACGGTATTCAATTTTATAAGCCAAGTCATTATTAGAACTAAAAAAATTGTCGGCTAATTCCCTAGTTAGTTCCCTGACTAAATCTCTACAACTAATTTTGTGGCCCAGATGATACAAAGGCTAACGTAAAATGCTCATTTATTCGACATTGTATGCAAACTTACCGCTGGCACTGTATGGGCTCCTTTTCCTTCTGGACTATTAACTGTGATCGGTAGTCGTAGTCGTTGTCGCCGTCACAACCGCATGCACAATTTTCGTTCGAAGCACTTGATTTTTTGGTCACTGGGGGTGGTCAATGGTGGTCGTTCGATGACACAATTGTATAATTTGAACACTTTTGAAACACGAGCGATATATTGCTTGTAATTTTGTTGGTTTATGGACGAGGAAGGGTAGCAAATAGGGTTTATATTCTCTTTTGTAAAATGGATTAGACACGAATTTTCGCCGATTTAGAATTTAGTTTGATTTCAATGCGCTGGGGGACAAACACTGCACAAACGGCAAACTGTAAAGGGAAATCGAGGAATGAAATCAATGAGACCACCAACAAAACTTTGACAATTTTGTCAACAGCAACAACAAACGAATGACAACAACAACCAACAAACGAACGGCATTTTCATGGATTTTGCCGAAAAGCTCACGGACAAGAACAACAGCAGCAAAGAGTGCAAAGCTTATGCTAAGATATTACGACTAAGGGATACCCGCTATTCATATAATTTGTAAGTGCAATAAGCAGAAAGTGATCCAATATGAATCCATAGAGTACTACTATTATGGTCTTCCTCTATTTCTTCTATTTCTTAACGTATCTGTGATCTTTCTTCTGTCAAATCCACGCACACATCTCCGTCTCCTACTTTAACACTATATACCCTGCTACTCCTCTGCTATTGCTGGGTATAAAAAGCACCGAAATGCAACTGGGAAGCAGAAGCAATGACAGTGGCTGTAGTAGAGCAGGCAGGTAACTCTTTGGTTTGGGTTGCACTTTCAGCGTTTTGTTGTAGTTGCTTTTCCGCTATTTTGACTTTGCCTTTGATTTTGGCTTTGCTTTTGTGTTGGCGTTCGTGTTCTGGTTATGCTTCTGATTCTGATTCTTATTCGGATTCAGATTCGGATGGTGAATCTGGTTCTCTCTGTGTGTGAATTTCGTTTCGTTTTTTATTAATAAAATGCACAACTTCCGTTATTAATTTTGCAACGACAACAATTGCCGCTGGCATGTCGCGCGCTCGCAGTCACTGCCTCTCACTCTGTCACTCTCTCGCTCTCTATTTGCTTCTCTTTCTTTGTGTTGGAACAGTAGACGTCGACGTTGACGACAGCCGCTGACAGACAGACAACAAATACAACAAATCCGTGACAAGCTTTCAACGTGTGTGTCGCCTACGGGAGGTGGGTGGCGTGGCCGAGGGGGCTCCCTGCATCGTCGAGGCGACTCTAGGGGACACAATCGCACTCCTTTGCACGCGACTCTCTAGCGCTCTTTCTTGCTCTCTCTCTCTCTCTCTCTCTCTCCTTCTTTCTGTCGCGCTGCATTCATTCATAAAAATCAGGTTGTAAAAAAAAACGCACAGCAACTGGGATTTTTATTTATTTATGCCAAATTGCCGACGCTTAATGACATTCGTTGTTGGTGTATTTGCTGCAGTTGTTGAACATTTGCAGTAATTGTGGTTGAATCATTTATTTTGTGTGTGTGTTTGCAGTTATTATTGTTGAACAATATTTTCATTTTCGGTTATATGCAGTTGCAGAAAGTTTTTAAGTGATTTTGAGGTAATTTGTAATTTTTGTGGACTATTTTTGTGGTATTTGCAGTAAATTGTTATTACATTTTGTATTTGTATTTTTCACATTGCACTTTTAGAGATAGTATTGTCTTTTATTTACACTGAAACCCAATAGGAAATCAGACACAATTTCGGTTTGTATTGTCACTGTAAGTCACTTATTGTTTGTTTACTTATGTCGGATGTGATAGGGATGAATCACTAATAGCTTATTTATGGAAGTACTCAGAACTCTAATTACACTTTATTTGTAATGAAACCCTAATAGAGATAGTCTTTCGTTATGCAAAATATGGCAATTGCACTCAAAACTTGGAAAGGAGAGTTTGTTAGGAAATTATTTTTTATTTCTTGGAATACAAATATTTTTTGTTTTGGATGCAATTGCTGAACAATTTTGTTTGTTTAGGCAGAAGATTTGATTGAGATTACTTTTAAACGTTACAGAGAGTTGTATTTGTTTTGTAAAACAAGTTAAAATAAAGTTTACTTAGATACAATTGGTTATTTGATATTCACTGATAGTTTATTTGGATTGAATTTTGTATTGTACTTTCACTGGTAGTTATTTGTGTGTTTCTTTGTTTATTTATTGTTATTTCTTTCGATGTTCCTTGTTTTATTTATTTTAATAAATTTGATATTTGCTGCAAGTGCAGCATCAAAAAACGTGCGAGTCCAAAACCAAAACAAATGCAAATCACAGTAAAAATAGAGATAATGCCGCACTTGAACCTGCCCGTCTGATTGCTGGAATTTTACTCCGAGCGCGTAATAAGAATTCTTGTTTCGAGGCGGAAAAGTATCTCGCAGATACGCGGTGTACTGTATGTATGGGTTGCATGCCAGCCGATGGTTCGCTGCGAACGTGTTGGGTCGAACATGTTGCTTGGCCACCCGCATGACACTACGTTGGCTTTGGTGTGTGTGTTTTTTGGGATTTTTTAGGCCCGAACTCGCACGCACACACAGGCACACGGCCGATGGCCACACAGATACAATAATATCTTTGAATGGACAGCAATCACGCACACATGAACAAACACACACTCACATCCACAAAACGACTATTATCTAAGCCACACAATCAGATTGTGTGCTTACATTTCCCGACTTCGACTTCGACTTTGACTCCGAATATTGAGTACGAGCACTCGTATGGGTAGAATTGATTGCGGACTTCGGAATAAAGAAAGAGTTGACCAATTGAAATAAAGAATTATTTTGACCACAACTAAGGGGAAAAGAATTTTCTACCGTTAACAATTTTTAGATTAATTAAAAGAAAATATAGACAGATATAGTCAAAAATAAACATTAGAAAACTCATTAGATAGTGCCAAATCATAGCGAATGAGTTGAGAATTCCTATGGAATTTTTTATTGCATTCAAAATTTTTTTAAGCAATTCATATTTTTAGTCAAGCGATTTATAGTTCAGCGCCTGATCCGTAAATTATTTATTAGTGGACTTTCCACTACGCAATTGTTAAACGGACTTCCATAAATCAGTGACAATTGTAGTAGAAATAGAAATTGAGTGGATTGAAATGAGTACTATGATACACATTGCATTAATATTCTCAACACGATTGGAGATCATGTGCCATGGGTTAGCAGTCGGCAAAACAAATCACAACTACGATTGAATAATTACAATAATTCAAACCATATTACTGCAAGCTAGATAAATGCATACATTTTGACTAAATTAAGGAACAAATTTAGAATTTAGGTCATAATTATAGTGCGCGTATTTGATTTATAAGTGTTGCAGCTGGAATTTCTTAGGCCTTAAATCTTCACCTAGAATTGCAGATAAATTATAGTACACACTCTATATAATAATTTCAAAACTCCCCCACAAAACCTAGCCATGTAGCATCTACTCATATACAATATTATATACCATATACACTTTCACCGCACTATAATGCCCCATTCCTTACAGCAGCAGCAGCAGCCGCCGCCCCTCCAGGAAGTCATTAAGCTTGTAGAGGTTGGAATAAATAAAGTTTCCCTCCCACTTTCGGGGGTCGGCTGGCAGGAAAGCTATAAGGTGGCAGGGCATACCATGGCAGATGCAACTTTATTGAACGCGACAAAAACAAAATAAATTGACGCGTAAAAACACTCGAAATACAAAAACATCGAAATTGTCGCGATCCAGAGATCCGAAAGATGCCAGCTATCTGGAAGATGCAGCGCAAGTTCGCGGCAGGCGGTGGCTAATGTATCTAATAGATACACGACAGCATGTCAGCCGCTTGCAGTGGAGCGAGTAAGGGGAGAAAAGTGTAGGGGGGAACAGAGTGTGGAGGGTGTGTGTGTGGCATGTTTGATATGATACGGTTCCGTTCCGGATGGCTCTCTGTAGATCTGTGGGTGAGGTACCTTGGAATACTCTGGGGCTTCCAGCTCTACCTTGGCCTGCTTTCCACCCCGCCACTCTGCCCACCAACCTACTCCCCTTTTGGATCGTTGTGCTCCTCGTGAGTCTCCAATTAACATTGGGATTGTAGTACACTTTTAATTTATATCTTATTGATGCCGGCGACATTTGTATTTATTTTTACCCATTTACCCAAAAACTCAGCGGGCAGGGGGCGGGCTATGGGCGGCTATGTACTATCCATACAAGATTCACTTCCCCGATCCGTAGCTGATTGTGTGTCTGTCTGTGTGGAATGTTATTTTTATCGAGAGTGTGTGGAAGGAAAGCTAAAATTTATATGGAATAGGTGTCGCAGCGTCTTGATATTTTTGGTGTATAATTATTGTTAATATTTGTTGCTGCTGCTGCTGCCCCCTCCTTTTCAGCTGTCTCTTCGGTGTGTTGTTGCTGTTTTTTATCTATACTCTAATTAAAATATTCGGTTGTTTTGTGCTTTATATTGCTCTGCGAGTATTCGAGTATATAGCGACACATATAGCTATCCCCTAATGCCGCGATCTGCCACATCTAAATGTCTTCTGTGCACATTTCAATGCTAGTCGAGGGAAATTGCTGTGAAGCCAAACAAAAATAAATGAATAAATGAAATAGGAGCAACAACAATTGGGTTCGTGGGTGGTTCACGTTTATTTTTAATATAAAAAATAAGTATTTTCAGTTTGATTTTAATGGCTCGCTTCTCGCTATGACATCTGTGCGTGATTATGATATTATTTTGAGTGGCGTTGCTCAGTGTTGACAATTGGGAAATCTTTGATCTTATATGTTTGATTTGGAATTTACCAGCACCGGTAAACATCTCAACAAAAGTTAAGAAAGACCACAAAAAAGGTCAAGGCTGAAAAGCAAAATTCGCAAAGTTCTGAGAACTTTGCCATTCTTTGACTTTATATTTTCATTGATATATTAAATAAAAAATGGAAAATAAAACTAGTAAGCCGAATTGATCACATTTCATTTCAGTGATCAGATCCATAAATATTCCCTCAGTTCAGCTGCGCACATTTCACGTACCTCAGCTAATTGAGCCTTGCACTCAATAATTAGACAACATCTCTTCCCCCTTAACTTTCCGCCCCAACTCACTCTCTCTCTCTCTCTCTCTTCTCCATTATTTCCATTTTCCAATGGAATTTCTCTCTGCGTCTTTAATGGAGTCATCTGCGTTGGGTACTCGAGGGCCTAATAGGGGAATATTTCAGACGACGGTGCACAGATGAAGACACCGATCTCGGTGGCTCGGAGAGTGGCACACGAGGCAAATGACATTTCATTTATCTTGTGCTGCTCGTGCAGCAATCCGAGGTGGGTTTTGGTGGCAAGGTAGTGGGGAACAGTGGGGCCTGCCTATTGCGTTGGCGACCAGCATTCGATGTCTGCGATGAGTTATGGACACTCGCATTGGGCCATGTTTTGGATGGGAGCAACAGGCATAGACTCGTAAAGCTCTCAGTTCCGGTGATCTCCGGACGGAGTTATCAGTGTGAAAAATAGAAACATGATTATGAAATTATCAAAAGAAAATGTCTGTACATGGTCTGCACGTGAGAAGTCTGTGGGGTGGAAAGCAACTAAAAGTAGAGAGAGAGAGAGAGAGAACCGCAGAGAAAGAGACATAAAGAGAGATCTATTTTGATGGGTGGCGCTTTTGTTGGCTTGAAAGTACCCCACGGCATTAGATTGGATGGAATTTATACAGCCAACGGCAGCGCAATTAAGTTTAACAACAACAACAACAACAACAAAACTACAGCAACTACAACCACATGCAAAACGAACACAACAGCTAAAACAACAACAACTACAACAACAGCAGTGTGTAATGTATGATCCGAACCGTCTATCCAACATGAACCTGCCTGTGCGCACACGCAACACACACACACACGAACGCAGATGATTCTCTCTCTGTCTATCTACCGCGTTTGTCTTTCTCGCCAACGAAGAACGTGTGTGGACAATAGAAACGATCGATGTACAAACAGACAGCAGTGGCCATAATGATAGTGCGCTAAAATGTACTGACAACAAAACTTATTACATATTATGAAAGCAGCCAGTTCTGCATAATACTCTTCGCAAGTTTGTGTTTCTTCATATTTATAAATAAAATATTAGTAATTGAAATGGAAGTTGTATTTAAATTGTAGCTTAGTATTTCAGGACACCTTCAGCTTCCAGTAGCACTGCTACTCTTTTCACCGCAACTGTCTAAACATTTACCCACACCTAGATGTTGGTCTGAACGAGAGATCAACTCACCTTGCGGCTCTCGAACTAGCCGAAACGAAAGAGAGAAAGAAATAAAGAAAGAGAGGAGAGTGTGTGTTTTTTTTCCGTTTTGGTTTTTGATGTTTCTTTTGGTGAAGATGATACACGAACCATGAATTTAATTATGATAAAGAAAGAAAGAAAAAACAATTTTAGGGCCAACAAAAGCACGCAAAATAAAGAGCCATAAGCGCAATGGTATGAGTGTGTGTGTATTGGTGTGTATTTGTGTGGATATTATGTAAAATGAGTTGGAAAGCGACTGAAAGAGATCCAAAACTGAAGGAAACCAACAAATGAGTACTCGATTGAGTGTGAGTGTGTCCATGGGTACGGGTATGAGTGTAGTTTTGAATGTATTATTTGTATATGTTGTTGTGTGTATTTATGTCTGCTTTCGTAGTCAACGAATTAAGTGCCGCTAGCTCTATTACTCGCCTCTTCACAGCAACCCAAAATGGTGTCGATCACATTCATTGCACAAGACGGGGCGGGAGAGAGAGAGAGATCTCTATGAACGGAGGTACAGTTGCGCCCGAGCTTAGAGAGCATAAATCTCTATAACTTGGATGTAAATACGATACGAGTCTTACGCAGTCTCGAGACATTCGTTAGATGAACATTTTTGACTACATTTTACTGGTTTCAGCAGACTGGAGAAAAATGTAAATGAATCTTCATGTAAATCCCCGTTTTTCTATAAATCGCTTTTAGTTTTGGGGGCAAACTTAAACGATGGAGCCCATAAAACTGTTCTTTAACTAGCAATATTAATTGAAATAATATGAGCTTCAAATGCATCCCTTGATTTTGACCAATTATGTTCAAGAATGAATACAATGGAAGCTTGATTAGTAGCTGTCTCAAGGCATTTTCAATGCTCTGGGCTTGTCTTAAACATTAAGGATCATCTATTCGAATGCCTTAATTAAGTCTCTAAAACTTGTTAAGTTGGTTTTGGAATGCATGCAAAAGGTTTATAAGAAGGCCTATAAGAACGCCATAAGTAGATACTTGGCCAAGTACTGACC